TATTTAATTTTATATTTAAAAAACTTTAATTAATTATTTTTTATTTTTAAAAATTAAATTTATCATAATTTTTTTTAAAAAAAAGATAATGATCTTTAATAAGTATAAATAATCTCAATAATTGAAAGTTTAGAAATAAAAAATTAAAATTTATATAAGTGTAATGTGTAAAATTTATATGTAAATAAATCTTTACTTAATAATTAATATTTTATAATTTAAATTATAAACTATTGTACTCTTTAACAGCAATAATAATAAAAATAAGATATTACATCTTACACTATAATAAGGGGCATCTGTCCTAATAACATAAATTTATTACCCATAACAATCTAATTGGAGAAATAAAAGCTAATATTCTCGGTCAAAGCATCAAGAAAAGAAAAGTGAAGAGTCGCAGTTGCCACGGTGGTTAGGGCAAACAAATTTTATTCAAGCCACACAAATATGTTAACATTATCTTTAAAAATATTAATTTAATTTATTTATTAAAAAATAATAATTAATAAATTAATAAATTAATATTCATTATTTAATAACTTAAAATTAATTTATAATTTAATATTTTCAACTATTATTATAACTAATTACAATTTTAAAAAATTATAAATGAATAAAAAATTAATCAAATTAAATACATATACTAATTTATGTATGAACTTAATGAAAATTTTGTGGTTAGAGTTTGTATTGTTAAATATATATATATATATATAGAAAAACGTATTTTAAAGTACAGGTTAGTTTTTTTTTTTTAGTTTAAGTATTAAAATCATAAAAATACCATTAACTAATAAATTTAGAATATAAATTTATTAAAAATATATAAATAATTCTAGTATTTAAATTGTAAAAAATATATAATTTGTACTTAAAAAATACTTTATATATATAATTAAATATAATAGAATTAGCAGTCTTGTAGTGGAGATGTAGGTATGGTACCACATAAGGTAGCTAGGCTGCTCGGTTTTTTCTGGCTCTGCTTTAAGTCCTTTCGGTAAGGTAGCTAGCCTTTCTCAATCGAATGGTACTACCCACTTCATTTTTTTTTTTTCTTTTTGTTTTTCGGTATACTTTATTTACTTTCTGTTGGTCCTTCCTTGCATATTTATGGTCAAAGTTTCAGACAAATGCTAAGGACTAAAACGTTGACTAGACACAAGAACGAAACCCAAAAAATTTTTGAAATGAGCATACTATTTCAGAAGTTTGATTTAGCTATTTAAGAACTGTTATTGGCTTTTAAATTTAATTTTAATTTAATTAGTAAGATTGGTGTATTTTAATAAATAATAATAACAAACTTAGATTCTCAAAATTTTATATATTAGTTATTAATTATAAATTATTCTTAAATAGTTAAATTAAATAGATATTTAAAATGAAGTGCTAAAGAATTATTGGATTGTCCCATGCTATTTATGTTACTACTCGCCTAATACAAAATTTTTAACTCAATAATTTGTTAGTAGTAAATAACATCGAACTCATATGTATTATTTATTTATGTTATCAGTTGCTTCTTTTTCTTTTATGTTTTTCTTTTTCCTGATATAAGACTAGGATTTATCACATATTCACATATATGATGGTTTTGACTTTGGATGTCAAAAACTCAAGATTAGATATTTACATCCAGAGAAGTAAAGTCAAAGTTTTATAAGTAAGTCCATAACCACAAGGTTTGGCTCATTTAAGAAAGCTTTGACATTGTTTGTTTTTATATATGTTCAAAAACCCAAGAAACTCTTTTTAGACAAAAAAAAAAAGAAGAAGAAGTTATTTATTAGCTTATCCAATCATAGGAGCGTATACAACCCTTTAACAAATATAAAAGAAATTTTAAAAAATGGAACCATAAAATAATAGGTAAATTAAAAATAGAAAACAATATCCAGAAGAAGAAAGATGATCCATATAACTGTGATTCAAAAATCAAGATGATGGGCCAAATGAGGTATGAATCCATAGAAGATTGTAATGCTTCAGATTCTTTGCCTGTTTTTAGGGTTTCTTTATATAGTTACGACTAACTTTCCTTTTGATTTCGAATCACACACATTCTTATTTCTTTCCATCTTAAAAAACCCAGAAAAGTAGCTGTGTCTACCAAATGCAAATAATAATATTAGCAATAAAAAATTAACCACCTAGCTATATAAATACATTATTTTTGGAGGTTACATGTACATAATATTTTGTGAGTGACTTAAATATATATAGTCCAATAGCAGTTTAATTTTAATAAAAATAAGAAATCTTGAGTTTAAGTTGTATAATATGTAAGTGAGGTGGGTTAAGGAAAAATGAAAGATGATTTTTTTCTATCATGTAACTTAAAATAAAAAACAAAATTTTTTTATAAAAAATGTCACATTAGATACTATCTCTCACGTATAACCTAAGCTAAGAGCTTGCATAATCATTTTTATTTTCTCTATGAAATGAATAGATAATATTAAAGAGATGACTGAAAGTAACTGTTTAAAATAATTGGGGACTTAATTGTCACAATTGAGAGGTTAGGGTTTCTCATTTAATTTATCCAAAGGTTAAAGCAGATTTCTTTTTGAAATGGGCTGCAAAATTGCAATGCCGACATAAAGAAGCTTCCTCTTTTGGGCCAGGACTGGGCTTGAGAATACTAATCACTGGAGAAGGTTCAATGACCTTTTCACTTGAATCTGCCAAATAGCCTGTTCCATCAGTCCATTGGGCCTAGACGAATTTCTAAATTTGCTGAAAGTTTGGGAAGTAGAGGTGAGCCCTTAATTAATTACCATGGAAATTTTTTTCTTTATCGGACTCTGCATATTTCTAAATAGTCCCTTTTATCCCAAGGAAAATAAAATAAAATTTAAGATCTCTCAAAATCTTAATGTCATTTAATCACTAAACCATAACCTCATTTGTAGATTCTTTATTTTGCATTCTTTTTCTAATATGATTACTTCTCCAATCTTCAAACAACATTTTCTTATTTTCTTGCTTTAGGTCATGCT